TAAATCGTTTTGAGTTCTTTCCGTATTCTAGATATTGATCCTCTGTCAGAAGAGTAGCTAGCACAGACTTTCGCCCACTCTGTAGATTCTCCCTTCACATTCCTGTTTCCTTTCCTGCTCAGAAGCTCTTTAATCTGATGCTGTCCCATGAATCAACTTATTTCCTGAGCTTCAGGGATCCTACTGAGAAAGTCGTTGCCCGTGCCCATGTGCTGGAGCGTTGACCCTACTTTTCTTCTAGGAGTTGTATAGTTGCCGATCGAATTCCTAGGTCTTTGATCCATTTTGAGTTGACTTTTGTGCAGGGTCAGAGACAGGGTCTAGTTTCATTCTTCTACATATAGATAACCAGTTTTCCCAGCCTGATTTGTTTAAAAGGCTGTCTTTTCTCCCGAGTGTGTTTTTGGCACCGTTATCAAGGATCAGACGACTGTAGATGGTTTTCCCTGTGTACTCTCTCCTGTACCGTTGGCTGTGTGTCTGTTTCTGGGCCAGGGCCATGCAGCTTTTGTTGCTATGGCTCTGTAGAATAATTTGAAGTCAGGTATTGTGATGCCTCCAGTGTTGCTTTTTGGGCTTAGAATTGCTTTGGCTACTCTGGGTCTTTTATTCTTTCAAATGAATTTAAGAATACTTTTTTCTAATTTTGTGAAGACTGCCATTGGTATTTTGATGGGGAATGCATTGAATCTGTGTATTGCGTTTGGTGGTAATGATGTTTAACCACATTAATCCTGCCCATCCAGGAACATGGGAGGCCTCTCTGTCTTATGAGGTCTTCCCCAATTCCCTTCTTCAGTGTTCTATAGTTTTCATTGTTGAGATTTTTCACCTCCATGGTTAGATTTTTTTTTTTTGAGGCTATTGTGAATGGAATTGATTTCCTGATTTCTTTCTTGGAAGCTTCATTGTTGATATAAAGGAAAGCTATTGATTTCTGTATGTTGGTTATTGACCCACTACTTTGCCGAGTTGCTTAATAGCTCAAGCCGTCTTTTAGTAGAGTTTTTTTTTGGATCTTCTAGATATAGGATCCCATCATCTGCAAACAGTGATTATTTGACTTCCTCCTTTCCTATTTTATTTCCCAATTGTTCTGGCTAGACTCTCCAGCACTATGTTACCCAGGAGGGTGGGAGCGGACGTCCTTGTCTTGTCCCGGGTTTTAAAGGAAATGCTTTCAGTTCTTCCCATTTACTACGAGGTTGGCTTTGGGGTTTTCACGTGTGGCCTTTATGATGTTGAGGTGGGTTCCTTCCATTCCTCGTGTCTTAAGTGTTTTTATCATGAATGGGGCACACACCTTCTTTGACAGCTTCCAGAACAGACTGGGGGGGGGTGGTCTCAATAAGGGATCCCATGTTTGCCGAGGGCTCTTCAGTGCTTCCACCTCTTATCTCAGCCCGTCCCCCTCCCGGGCCCCTTCCTCAGAGAGCAGAGGCCAGGTTGAACCCACATTGTCCACACCCCCCGGCCACGTGCTTACCGGAGGACCCTGTGTTCTCCTGAGCAGGGAGTGAATAAACCTGAGTGCTCTGGGCATTCACAGTGGATTGGCCACGCAGCCAAGAGGCTCAGGGCCCCTGTGTTTGCTTTTCCAGGTCAAGATCAACAGCCGGGGTCTGGTCTATTCTGTGGTGCTGCTGCTGGGCTCCGTCGCGCTCACCGTGAGTGTCTACAGTTCCAAAGGAGAAGCCTCACGCAGGCCTCATTTCACCAGCTTCTGCCTCGTCACTTGCAAGACTCCAAACACCTCCCTGTCCCCTGCCCCTGGCATAAGACAAATGGAGCAGAGGTGTACACCCACACGTGCTCCAAACCCAGGTTTTCCCAAGAGCATCCACCAACACTACTAAGCACTTTCCTGAGCAGATGAGATGTCACAGGGGAAGCAAACTACATTTCCTTTCTTCTTGCTGCCTCGTCCAATGCCCTCTCTAGTGCCAGGGGACAGAAATTCTTCCCATCTGGGCTGACAAGAGGGGGTACAGCAGGCCTCAGGGTGACACTTGGCAGTCAAAGCTTCCCTACTCCATGTGCCTAGGCCTGAGCTGAGCACTTTACTTCTGCGTTACTTCTCTGATCCTTGCTGCTCCCTGGTGAGGGGAGTGCAAGTATCATTCCCATTTTGCAGAAGAAATCGAGGCTTGGGGGAGGGGGGGTAAGTAATTTGCCCCAGGTCACAGACTGAGGAAACAGCAAATCTAAGATTCAAACCAGGTTGGTCTGATTTACAGAGCCGTGTGCTCTGCAGAGGTAACCGGTCCAGCCCTTGGAAGCCTTGATTCGGACATCGGGGAAGACAGTGGGGGGAAGCGTGCCCCACCCCCACAAATGCAGTGGCGGGACACACACACACAGAAAGGGATGCCCCAGACTGCGGTTTGCCAAGAATGGGTCCATGGGAGCCTTGGGAAATATGCCAAGGAAGAAAGGCCACGTTCTGAGGCCAAGATAAAGACTCGCTTGTCTCTGGACAAGGCCTGGGCTGGGGGACTTGTGCACCTGAGGAGGTGGCCTGCCTGGGGAGGTGAGTGTCCCCAGGGTGGCTGCTGGGTATCCTGGAGTGAGCAGGACTGGGCCATAGACTGCTCCTGGCATGTATACTCAGGGCTGTTTCTGGTGAAACCAAGGAGAAGCCCATCGGGGACCATTTGCCCTTGTCTCCATTCTGCAGCTCCAGGGTTTGTGAATTACCCGTTACGCCTTCTGTGTCCCTCTTCCCCAAGCCCGACTCTTACACTCTGTCCCCCAGGTCCTCGGCATCCACCTCAACAAATGGCGACTGGACCGGAAGCTGGGCGTCTACGTGCTGGTTCTCTACGCCATCTTCCTGTGCTTCTCCATAATGATAGAGTTTAACGTCTTCACCTTCGTCAACCTGCCCATGTGCCGAGAAGACGATTAGAGCTGAGCCACCACCCCGCGCCTCCTGGCCGCCCACCACACTGGCGTCCTTCTCTCTCCCTCCCCCGCCACAGGTCCCTCCTGCCTCAGCCACCACCATCTGTCCTTTCATGAGCTGGAAGGAAGGGCCATCATGGTCTTTGCCTGGTCCCAGCCCAGGCTGCTGGCCTGCTCCTTGGAGTCAGCCCCCAAGGCAGGGTCCTGGCGGTACTCGAGTTGAGCAGCTCCACAGGCCCCTGAGCTGCCAGCCGCGGGGACATGGAGTGTCCCATCTCTTGCACACTTCTGCATGCAGCTTGTCTTTCTCCTCCATGGGCAGGCTCAGAAACGAGGCGGTCGGTACCCACGAGGTCTCTCTGGGCAAGTGCAAAACAAAAGTGCCACTCTGTAGTGTCAGCTCGGGGCCAGAGGAGTGAGGTCCTCAGGCAACATGTGTCCCCAGGAGCCTCTGACTTCTGCCGGAAGCACTCACAGTTTGGAAGAGGCAAGGCGTCACCCTGCTGGGGTTGGAGACCATGACAGCAGACATTCCACTCCTTTTTCTGGAAAAATTAGAAGAATGGAAACATTTCTTTCACCGCAGAAGAGAGAAACGCAAATACTCTTATCCTTTTTATTGATGCAGAGAATGAGCAGTGAAATATTAAAAAATAAAACATCCGACAGATCATCATACTTGAAAAATATCATTCCACACTAAAAGATCATGATGGGGACCCAAAAAGGTCACCCCTGTACAAAAATGAAACCTCTGTGTCTCGTCTTGCATTGACGTGAAGATGTTTGGTTTGAAATATAGAAAAAGGTGAAGGACCAACGTGGAAACAGGTGCTAACTCAGAGACACAGTGAGGACTGCAGTTCACTGCTCGACATTCCAGACCTTCTGTGTGAGGCAATGCACTGTCTGTCCAGGTTTGTCATTTCTTTAATGTTTTAGCTTCATAACCCCCTTGTGGAAAGACGCAGTTGTTTGTATGCCCAGCCAATTTCAGAACTGATGGTTTTAGTGACAAGAAGAGAGATTTCCTTCAAAACCATGAATTGCTCTCGGGTTAGCTGGAGGCAAGTCTGAAAACCATATCTTGGAATTTTTAGAGCTAATTTTCTTGAAACTCATAGTTTACTACATATGAAAGGCCGGGGATAGGAGACTGATTAAAAAATAGAGAAGCATGGAACTATGTTCAACTGCTTCGTAGCTCTAAAAAGTATACTGAAAAGATTTATGAACACAAACCTTTCCTGGGTTCTCAAAAGCAAGCACAAATTAATTTTCTATAGAGAGTGTTCTTTTATTTTTTTAACGTTTCTATCGCAAAAGTCTACCGGATCTGATGCACTTTTAATATTGAGCTATTTTGCACAGGAGAAGACATGGGAGCCACCCCTGTCGATGTCAGAGGAAAGGTTTTTAGTGATTCACCAGAAATCGCTTTAAACTTGGCAATGAGTTTAACTCCAGTAGCTAACCCCCTCCTGAGACACCAAGCTCATGACCCATGTTGGAATTTGTGACTATGCTCTGTAAGGCCTCCGGAATTCCAAAAGGAGGAAGTGTTCGAGTCTGCGTCCCCAAGTTCCCTTAAGCATGACCCTGTGGTGGGACTTGGCTCCCGGCACCAGTTCCCATCCAGGACTCACATCAGTATTAGAGGGACACCATATCAATGCTTCTCTTTCTGTTTCTCTACCCAGAGCCTGGGCTCAGGGGCCTTCAAATTGAGAAATAAAAAGGATTTTCCTAAGAAATTGGCTAAGCAGGATGGGAGGGAGCCCATGCAGCAGTAGAAACTTAGCTGCAAGAGGTTTCAGTGCCACTGGGGACCAGTCTGGGTCTGAATAGCTTAGTTCAAAACACACACACACACACACACACACACATGCGGGGATAGTTTTTCCCACATATTCATTTAGTCTTGGGCAGGTCAAGTGATCTAGTTTAGTGGCCAACGGTAGCATGCTTGTCCAAGCGCCACGCCACCGCCCCTCCCCAGCTGAGCCAGAGCACGTGGGTTGGCCAGCCTGGGGCAGCAGGCATGGGCGTGAGTCTGCACTTGTGGTTGGTTCTTTTCGTTTAAGTCAAAACCTCATCAAATATTTAACTGACTCCTGGATTCCCCAGATCATCTCCTAAGATCTGTTCTTATCTGAAGTCTTTTTTTCTTTTTCTGAAAAAGACTAAAAATCATTTTTAGATATGACAAGGACCAGGGTACGTGGTCCCTGAAGATGTCCCTGTTGGTTTTCAATTCACTGAGTCCCTGTGTAACTTTCAGAGAATATATCCTAATCACCCTCTTCTCTGCAGAATCCATTTGAGGTTATAAAGTCGACTACAGCTGCAGTTAGAGACTATGAAATCACGTTTTTAATATGTAGTATGCTCCTCTTAGCTAATGTTCTTTGGACTTTAATGTGCCAACGTAATGTCCTTACAAGGCTCTATGCATTTATCAAACCTAAAATACTCTATGAACAGTGTAGGTGAAAAATACTCTGTTTTTAACTATATATATTTCCATCACAAGTTTAACAGTTGCTTGATGATTTAGGCCTTCATTTTTTAACTTACGCTTTCAGCCCATGCCGGACCACTCCCTTTATTTTTATCTCCAAAGCTAATTAGCATGGGGTAATTATTTCTGCTACAAAATAGACAAAAAATACATTAAGCTCTTCTCTGGGGGGCAGAAAAGCAAAAGGAACCATGTACTCAGGTAGAAAGTGTCTATAGAACAGGGGCAGGTGATTCCTGCTTCTGGTCTGGAATTTGTCCTTACTGGTCCAAGGATTAGGGTGGACAGTGTGAAGTGTCTTGGGGACCTGACCCTGAAGGAAGGTTCTGGGTCAGCAGCTGTGAGAGATGGAAGGTTAAGGGCACTGTGGACAGTAAGCGTGGCCCTGTTGCTCACCCCATCCTTCCTATAACACGGTCTGGAGTCTGTTGGCCTCTGCTTCGCCCTGTCACCTGCCAGCACCTGAGCACACACCTGGCTACAGGTGTGTGTCTGCACCTGCTCATTCCCCTCCCCACCTGTGAGGGCTCTTCCTGGCTTTTGCCCATCTGCCCCTGCCTTTACAGACCCGAGCAGCCAATAGGCACTCACCTTCCCCGAGCCCTCGCCAGGGTTTGCACACCACCCAAGCAC